TATTGACAATGTGTATTTTTTGTTTAATAATTTAATGCATACCTCTCTGTGGATTACGTTTAGTACTATTCTGGTGAACTGGGTGAGATAGTATAGATTACATACTCCTAAGAATTCTAGGCTTCCATTTTATCAAGTCATCCACTGGCTATCTTTCCTCCTTGAGTATGTTTATTCCTGGTAAATGAAATATATGCTACTATCTCTATTCACCTCCACCTGCTCTTTAGGGATAATTATTTCATCTTTCATAACTGTCTACTTTGTTATTTCTATGTTAGTACCTACTTTATAAATTAATACTAACACAAAACATTATGAATGCTTGCATTCCTATTATTCTGGATGGGGATCCATTTCATTCTCCAACATTCTATTGGCAGAAGCAGAAAGAATATAGGAAGCATGTTCAATGGGTGACCATATAGGAGTCCAGCCTAGTGGATATTCTTTCCTTTCCAGGAGAATCTCTCCAGCTTTCCTCCTCTCTATGGGTGATCTGTCATTCAATGAGTAGCATGGAGACTTAGAGGCATTCTTAGAATTTCACTCTAGGCAGTTATTACTGTTTAGTCAAAGCAAGCAAGCATGTGAAATGATACCAACCTGCCATTCAGGTATTGCTTCCCAGCTCTGATATGATAGAATTTTGCAAATATACACACCACAAAGTACCTCTACCTGAAGTAACAACATGCCTTTCCCTCAGCCACTCACCCAACCCAGGCAGGTTCAGGCAGGTTCTTCCCTATATCTTTATGCTTCCTTTTTTAGAAGGAACTTTACAGTAGATGACTTTGAAAGTAATTCACACTGCATCCTGTTAGCATCATTTCCCATGATGCTTCTTTCTTGTGCTCTACTTCCTCTCTGAGGTGCATTTTTACAGCTTTCCTGTATCCCTGTTGACTTTCCAGGTTTGATAGTACCTGGACAACTCCCCTTCCTGGAATTTGTTAAACAGCTTTAAGAATTTTATAGCAAGGACTAGAAGCACCTATTTAAAATCTATGCACTATAGTGACAACTCCAAATGAGCAAGTTTGATAAATTATTTGAGGAAATTTCAAAAATTCAAATGTAGGAAATTCTTTGCTACTCCTTTGCTCTACAAATTATTAAATGAAAGTTTCCTCTCAGGAAATACATAAAACATATTTGTTTTGCTTCGGTGAGGGAAAAGAAAGTAAATCCAGAACTAAAAATGTGGAGTTTGTTTCCTTGGAAATAATCAATGGTTCCACAGTAACAGAAACAGTTTGTCCTAACTTAAATAGACAAAAACACAATCCCTCTCCAATTTCACCATTTTTTTTCTCTCTTTGTGTAACTATCTTGGTGATGCAGCGTCTAGACTTCTTGGAACAAGTGATGGAGTCTGGAATTTATTCTGTGGGTTTGAAAATGGCTATTCAGGTCTCCTTCAAACTTACATATGAAAATCCAGTGCTTTTAGAATATGTAAAATAATCAAGCTGTTTACCAAAAACATAAAATTTCCCTATTCATGTGTCAACTTTGGGCTGCTACCAACAAGAAAATATCGTACGGACATATCCATTTTATCCATATCATCTCGTTGCAGTGTGGTTCTCATTAGCCACTGTATCAAAAAATACAAAATAATTTGTACTCATGAAAGAATGGTGGCAGATATTTTCTAACCTTTGAGACATATCAATAAAAAAATAGCTTAAAATATATACATCCATTCTTGGTATGTTTTCAATAGGTAATCCACCAGGATTTACCAAGTTAAAAAGGGCAGGTTTCTTATATCACAGGGCATTCTCTTAGTCTTTTGTCATTTGTAAGCTGGATAAAATAAAGGAAAGTCTCTGAGGCATCCAGATCTAAACAGTGTTTGTGCAGCCTGGATTATTAAGTCTGACTGTAGTTTATCTGTGCTCTTAAGGAAATAAAACTGTTCTTGCCGAGAAAGTTCAGAGTTATTTGTCACCAATTACCTAAAGCTGGGAGTTGATCTTACACATAGCTGGAGCCATTTCCTGTAAGCATTTGCTCCAAATTTTACAAATCTGTCACTTCTTGAGGCTTCACCCTAGAATATATGTGTCGACTACTGCAGAGTTTTACTGCAAAAGTTTACACAGAAATAATAGTCTTACGGGGCATAAAGCTCCACAGTATTGATTTGTTTAAAATAAGCCTATCCCTAATTTTCAAACAATGTTCTCAAGCTCTGTCTATTATCTTTTCCACGACAAAAAAAAAAAAAAGCAACGAGAAAGATTTTTTTTCATTAAAAGATAAAGCACATTGAACTGAGCTGATGTCATTTATACTATAAAATCTCTATTGGTTCTGTTTAGTGGAGTAGTATAAAAGTATGTTAAATTTTAAAATAAATAAAGTATATAGGATAGGCCTCCTGCAAGAAAATTAGGTATTGTGAGTATAAAATAAAATAAAAAATATGGAAATTAAATGGCAATAAAAATATTAACCAAAGACATATCATTCCATCTTTCTTAATTGGATCTTCAGTTTTTTATAGCCTATTAACAACAAGAACAACAACAACAAACAAACCTGGCATCTATATTGGATGGGAACAATCAAAAGGAAAGTCCTAAGACTTACTTAATTTCAAAGATAAAGAAGTAGTCTGAAAAGTGTGCTCAATCATGAGTCAGAAGAACTGAAGTTTATTCCCATTACATAAGGTCTTAGTTTATCAATCTGTAAAATGGGTGAGCCATCCTACCTAGCTGAGCTCTAATAGAATCAGCTCCGGGCTTAAATAAAGTCATAGTTGGCAAAAATATGTTCTCCCCTGCTACAAGTCTACTAAGACTTTTGAGATTTGATTAAAGAAGGATTTTCCAGTGTATGTTCCTTAAAGCGCTAGTTCTAAGCAAAACTAGGAAGTGCTACCAGAAGGAAGGAAGGAAGGAAGGAAGGAAGAAAGAAAGAAAGAAAGAAAGAAAGAAAGAAAGAAAGAAAGAAAGAAAGAAAGGAAAGGGAGACTGAGGGAGGGTAGAGTACATGTTTAAAGGTATAAACCCATTATGGGGGTCATGAAATTAATTCCTACAATGAGCTCAGAATTATTAACAGCCAAGGGCATGTAAGATTTGTAACTGGAGATGGAAGGCTTTCTTGTAACTTTTTCTTCAGCCATTGAACAATTATTTATCAGGTGTGGTGTGGCGTTTTGGAAGATACAGAGACATGCAAAGTTTGGCCTGTGTCTTTAGAAGATGACAGTCTGGGGATCGCTGGGTGGCGCAGCGGTTTAGCGCCTGCCTTTGGCCCAGGGCGCGATCCTGGAGACTAGGGATCGAATCCCACGTTGGGCTCCCGGTGCATGGAGCCTGCTTCTCCCTCTGCCTGTGTCTCTGCCTCTCTCTCTCTCTGTGTGTGACTATCATAAATTAAAAAAAAAAAAAAAAGAAGATGACAGTCTGGATAATTTCAATAGAAAATTGATGGAAAAAAATTAAAAAATTGATAGATGTTGTGAGAGCACAGAGAATAGGGCATAGAAATCTCTGGTGATATTCAAGTGCAAACCTAAATTAGTTATATTTACAGGCCTTTCAAATAGTTGCTTTTGGTCCAAGTTACAAGGTTATTTTTGTATAGGTAGGAATTAAACTTAATTGTAATTAGCGTTACACAGTTATTAGTTGCTACATGCGGATCACAGACAACATATTGGTTTGTTTGATTTAAAGTTGTTCCATTAAGGCTATCTCTATTTTTAGCAAATAGATACCGTAAGAGAGTTTTTAGTTTAGGATAGAGATACATTTATTCCAAAGTTGCTTAATTAATATCCTTCTCCATGAATACTGAACAACAACACAAACAACTGATGAGCTCATCTTCATTCAGATATTTCCCTTGATTCAGGACCATTAAGTTGCTTGCACACTGAAAGTACGGAGATACAGAAAACATAGTAATTTAGGCTTTGCATATTGATTCACGGCATTCATATTTGAACTCAGCAAATGTTGAAGAATAAAGTAGCAGAGGCTTGCAGTTTTCCATCAAAATCATTTCTCTAACTTTCATGAATGGAGGAAGTTTGTCTTCAGTAGATGATTCTGGTTCTGTTGTTCTGTGATGTTGGTCAAGTTTAGAAGCTCTGGAATATAGCTGATTCTATAGAAAATTCTATTCTCAAAGAGTACAATGTTGCATTTGTAGGGGAGATGTGTATTAGACATGGATATATGGAATTTGACTTCTGTAGGTGAGCAGGTAATCTTCCCGGGGCTCCCTTTTTGCAATGCATAAAATCAGGTTATTCCCAATGCGTGTTTTACTGAATACTACAGCTTAGTGAAAAATGGTTTGACCATTTCATTGTCCATCCAGATGAAGAAAATTTGGAGAATTAAAGGAGTTGAGAAGGGGATACTGACAGTGACATGAGCATGGAAGGGGGGAAGGGCACAAAGGAGACTTCGGCATTCTCTGTAATACTATATCTTTTGCACCTAAAAAAGTGTTAGAAAAGTGACAAAATGAGGACATGTGCCAATTCTGAATGTTGCTACAAACATATCTCTTGCATTATTCTATTTTTTTTAGCTAGCAAAGAAATTATTGCTAACATGATGATTCATTCATTCAACAAATGATTTGTTGAGAGCCTACTGTGTGATAGGTGCTAACAATAAAATGAGAAGAAAAAAACAAACTTGACATCATCCCTTGCCCTTATGAAATGTATATTTTAGATGTGAAACTGCCATGTTGGGACCTAAGATAGAATGGTTAAAAAGCCAAAGGAGGAAAGGGGGATGATACTGCCCTGATACTTTGGAGATGAGCTGCTGTTCGTACTGAATCAGTAAGCAAAAGTCATTCTTGGCTGATAGGAACTGCCTCATTTTAGATTCGAAATAGAATCTAATAATGCATCTGTCTGTGGGCTACACATCTAAAACAGTTTCATGTGATATGTATTTTACTTGCTGGTTGCAATCTCAAGTTCACCTGCATTTTTCTTTGATTCTCTCTAGTATATGACTGCTGCCGCTCCTATGCAAGGGACCTACATTCCCCAGTACACGCCTGTGCCTCCGACAGCTGTTTCTATTGAAGTAAGTCTATCTCTGTCTTATGGAAAGAGGTAGGGTTGACAAATCTCAGCCACGTGTACTGTGGTCCCCCATAACCCAACCCTTATGTGTGGTTTTGTGCTGCTGTAAAATTTGACATTGCAAGCTCACTATATGAAAGTTTTCAAACATGCCTATGTTGTGCTTTGCACATGAAATAAACTAATTTGCTATGCAGGAAACAGGGGAGTAACATTTTCATATTCATACTTAAAGATAAGAGACCAAGTCACTACCCCGTCAGATGTTAACCACAAATACTCATAAATAGGGCAGGATAAAAGATTGCAACTATTTGAATGAGTTTACTAGTGCCTTATTATTCAAAAGGGTGGTCCCTGGATGAGCATCACCATCAGCATCACTGGGGAGCTTGTTAGAAACGCAAACTCTAAGATACCACCCAGACTTACTGAATCAGAATTTGCATTTTAACAAGATCCCTTGGGAGTCTATACTCTCACTAGTGTACTGGTTCTCAAACTTTTCTGTTTATTATTATTTTAGTTATTTAGAGAGCTTTAAAAAATATTTATGCCTGGCTCCTGTCCTCAGATTCTGATTTGTCTGGAGTATTGACTGGACATCAGGATTTTTAAAAGATCTCAGGTGGGGGAAAAAAAAAAAAAACAACTTCAGGTGTTTCTAATATGTATCAAGGATTAATAACCACTGCTTTAGTGAATGAACCTTGGCAAGTTTGTGGCTTCCTACAGATTAAAAAAAAAAAAATTAGAGAGTTGTGGCTACCTCAAATGATGAAGTCATCTTGTCTTTAATGGAAGCTTTATTCCTTTCCTTCTCTCTTCCCAAATGGGCTGAATCCATCCCCTGTACACATTATTTTACTGGACAGGGCCAGCAAGCTACACAGAAAAGAAGGGAGCATAGAGCTATGTAGGTAGTAGTAAAACACTTAGACATATATATTTCTGTCTAATCCTAGCCATTATTGTCTCTTGCCACTCTTCCCCTTCTCCTGTTAACATTTGCCATCACGGTCACAGTGCAGTTCTTCCCATCAAGAGGGACTCCTCTGGAGTCCATGCTATTTCTCCCGCAGGAGTTGGCCAGCAAGTAGGATGCTGGCATCCCTCCACATGGAAGTCTACCATGACTTTCCCAATCTCTAGAGCTACAGAGATTGGGGAAATCTTCACAGAATAAACTGGATCTGACACAGATATTTGTATATGACAGATATTTGCTAGTACCAAAGTTTGGGAAACATAGAAGTTTAAGAGGACACCATCACATAATTTAGGAAGTCAAGGAGGTCCAATTTTAAATCTTTTATGTGCTCTAGACCTGTGGGCCCCAAAGAATATGTCAGTATTGAACAAGTTTTAATTGGTTTTTCAGAATTTCAAGACTACATGAGAAAAATACATGTGGGCTTTTTGGGTTTTTTTTTTTTTGTGTGTGTGTGTGTTGCTATATTTGACCATCAAAAACATCTAGATCATCAGTTAATGAATCTAGATATTCTAGGCACTTTCAGCATAGATCTCTACATAGGTGCATTTTTCTCTGTCTACGCTAACATATTGATAGGCTTATCTACAGAATCTGAGCATTTTGATGACCATAAAATAATGGGACACATTTGACAGTATGACTTATTGGAAACACTCTAACTATAGTTAAAGAAGAAGTCTATAATTTAAAAAAAGTCTTTTGGGTCGGGGTGCCTGGAGAGCTTAGTGTGGAGCATGCAACTTTTGATCTCAGGGCTGAAAGTTTGAGTCTCATGTTGGGCAAGAGATTACCAAAAAAAGACAAAGTCTTTCACTAAGAAAAATGGGAGTACAGTTTTATATGTTGCTTTGATGTGTGCTTAAAGAAAAAGCACCAATCTACTTTTCTATGTAAAACACTCATTGAAAATTCATCAATATCAGCACAAATAGATGCTGATGGGACATTCAGAAAAAGGCATAATACCAAATACTATATTAGAGAAAAAAAGGATTGAAGTAATATAGGGAGAATTTTTGGATTCTGATGAACAATTTAAGGGACTTTAAGTTAGGGACAGAGAGTTGAACAAGAACATTTGAAACCTGACATCACTGCAGATGTCCAAGACTATGAGTAAATCTAAGAGAATCTATTCAGAGAGATGCCCTCTCTAGGCCTCCAACCTGCCAAATAAAACCACCTGTGCCTTTCTTAGAAGCAAACATCTATCCCTAAAGATGACCAACTCCTTGTTGGCATCTATGAGAAATGAGAGGGTGAGGAAAGTAGCAAATCAAAATTAAGGGTGTTTGTTTTCTGAAACTTAAAAATGAATTCTAGTTCATAGTGTAGAAAACAAAACAAACCAAATCAAATTGCTGAAGAGAAAACCTACCTAACATTAGCCTTTTAAAGGAATTCCAAGCTTTTATGTATTGTTTTCTTTTCCTTTTTTAGGTCAGAGTCCATTGTTTTGCCAAGTCAAAGAGACATGACACAGTGGACTACCCCAGGGAAATGTCTGAATATACAAGTTTTTATAGGAATCTTGCATGAGTTTTTGATTAAGAAATTATTATTAAGGATGGCTATATGCAACCATGGTTTAAAACTTCTAAGTATGGTGAAAATGATTTTCTCACCATTTGACTGCAGTAGGGGGTTTCTGAAGGCAAGGCCTCTTGGTGACACATTGAAGTGAATTCCTCAGCCTGTATCCAGATATGCTCTGGGGTTTTCCTTTGGGTACTTCCTGTAGCTCCATTTGGCTGAGTGCAACTCTACTCCAGCCAAACAGAAAAGGGCTATCCACTATAGTCCATCTGGAAAAAGGCCCTTTGCTAAAGCCAGTAAGGCTTTTGTGTTCTTATTTTCTTCCTTAGGGTGTTGTTGCTGATACCTCTCCCCAGACAGTGGCACCTTCATCCCAGGACACCAGTGGTCAGCAGCAACAGATAGCAGTGGACACATCCAACGAACATGCACCTGCATATTCTTACCAACAGTCTAAGTAAGTTCTTTCTCTCAGGATCAACCATCTTGACACCATTCTCTCATGTTCTATCTGTTAGCTTTTGCTGCAGTACAGACTATCCCAAACTTAGTGACAAAGTGTTCTTTTAGTTCATGATTATGTGGGTTGACAATATGAGCTGACCTCAGGTGGATGGTTCCTGTGGTCTTGACTAGAATTGCTCAAACACCTGGGGACAGCTGATGGTCATTTTTACAACTCTGCTTCTGGGTGTTAATTGTTTGTTCCTTGAATGATGGAAGCAAATGGATCATGTGTTTCTGATCCTGCATCAGCTTTTTCACATAGAAGTCCCAGAATTCAGAGAACAGCAAGAGAGGAAGCCCAAATGAAGCACTCTTCAATCTGTTTGTGATGCATTTACTACTGCCCCAGAGGCCACAGCAAGTCACATGGCCAAGCCCAGAGTTAATATAAGAGTTTACCTAAGCCTTAAATACAGAAGGAGGCATTTAAAAAAATCTACCATATGTATTTTTGGAGAAAACTCCAATATTCCTATTTGAAACTGGATAATGAGGCTGCATTCTTTACTTTTTAAATATTTTATTTATTTATTTGAGAGACAGCACAGAGGGAGAAGCAGACTCCCTGCTGAGCAGAGAGCCCCATGCAGCTCAACCCCAGGACCCTGAGATCCTGACCTGAGTTAAAGGCAGATGCTTAACAGACTGAGCCACCCAGGTGCCCCAGTGAGCCTGCATTCTTGAATGGAGATAGAAACACTCGTTTTGCAAGGTTGCCTTGAACACACAGTAAAGTAGTTCATGAAAAAGGGGTTCTGTAGGGCAGCCTGGATGGCTCAGTGGTTTAGCGCCGCCTTCAGCTCAGGTCCTGATCCTGGAGACCTGGGATCAAGTCCCACATCAGGCTCCCTGCATGGAGCCTGCTACTCCCTCTGCCTGTGTCTCTGCCTCTCTCTGTGTGTCTTTCATGAATGAATAAATAAAATCTTTAAAAAAAGAAAAAGGGTGCTGTAAAATATAAAACAATGTGGAGTCTTATTTAGGATTTAAACACCAAAGCAACAATCATGTATCAGAATTACTCTTTCAAATCTTTAAGTCACTTATAAAGTGCAGTTGGCTTTGTGTTGAGTAATTATGTAGACTAAAATTTGAGAAGTTTTGAAGCCAAAGTAATTAACAAAAATTCCATCTATATAGAGATATCTTGTGCAAACTATTCTAATTTGTAGGTAGCAATGAAAGCCCCAGTGAATGGACAATTCCCAAGAGATCCTTCCTGTCTGCAGAGTATCACTCCCATTTCTTGATCATTCCTCTTTAACCTCAATACATAGAGATTTGTTTGTTGTTGAAAGATTAATCATGGTAATGGAGTCTTCTATGAGTAGTTTAGCTTCTAAAGGTAGTCTTCCAAATGAAATATGCTGACATGACTTGACCTTTATTACTATTATTATTATTATCACATAACAACTTTCAGGAATGATCCATAAGAATAAAACATTTTGTGTTTTTGTTTCTTGTTTTTATTTTTAATTCACCTATAGCCTATGTGAATCACTTTTACACACACCGCACAATATAGTAGTCTCTGATCCTCTGTTCCAAGCATATTGGAATTTTTTCAGTCTGTTCAGAGGGTAATGTATGAGAAAGGAGCCAGAGGCTGGCTGTGTGGAAGCACAGTGAGAGACACTGGAAACGAGAGCTACTATGTTTGCCAGAAACACTTGGTGAGTAGGTGAAGCTGGCTTTTGCTGTTTCTGAGCATAATGAGGAAACGGGTGATCCTAGACCTTTCTTGCTAACAGTTTAATGATGTCTGGGTAAATAAAAGAGATGCTTTCATTCAGCCAGTCAGCAGTTATTGATATAATGCCTACTATGTGATGCACAGAATTTCAGATGCCAGGAAAAGAGCAATGAAAAAGGCAGGTGCTTTTCCTATTCTCTTGGAGTTTACTTCCTGCTAGGAGTAGACTCACAGTCAGTGAGCCAATCAGCAAACAATAATTAAAAAAAAAAACAGATTTGCAAAGCAAATATTTAAAAAAGATCCTTGTGATAGAAAGTGACAGGATAAATACCAAAGATTTGTTATCAGGCAAGGCCTTTCACAGAAGCCTGGATCTGAAAGATAATTACAAGCTAATCTTGGAGAGATTTGGAGAAAAAAACATTCCAGGCAGAAAAAAAAAAAAAAAACCCAAAGAAACAAACAAACAAACAAACAAAAAAAACCAGGAAATCCAAAGGTCTAGAATGCGAACCTGCAGCTAGAGTGTGGTGAAGAGGTAGGGGACCAAGTCAATGCTGTAGGAGACCAAGTCAAACAGGCAGTTTTTATGAAAGCTCTAGTCCTTGGATACTTGGCTTTGTATAGAGGAACCATTCTCAGTTTTATTTGAAGAGAGCCACAAAAGCTTTGGAAGGCGTTAAGGGATGGAAGGCCAGCATTTGAGTTGTATTTCAAGGACTCCATTGACCAGTGGAGTCTGAGTATGGAGGGATGTGTTTCAAGGATGGCTTTCGGGATACAAAGTACCCCCTTCTTGAACTGTCTATAACATCCTCTTTCCCCTGGCCGTTTCAATCAGCTTCAGCTGCCCCCACTTAGAGCCCACAACAGGATGCTCTCTTCTTCCTCAGGTTGTCCCTACCATTCATGACCATTGTATGATGTGGTGGGGAAGGGGATGCCCTGCCTAACTCAGAGAGAGCATCTATGCCTCTCCCAGATTCCAGTGAGAGTCTCCCCACCCACCTCCACACTTAGAGTATTCAGCCTCAGGCCAGTCTCTGTGCTAGGAGACAGGATCCCTGCCCTCCAGAATTTACAATCTAGTACGAGATTTAGATTTATATATAGACATGATGTGCATACTGCAAGGGCTCTTTTAAAAAAAATACTATAGTAATAGAATGCATTTAATTTTTCTCGGCTGGGTCAGCTTTGGTGGAGGTTGTAGCACCTGGAATAGGGTCTTACAGATAGTCAAGTGGTGTTCTAGGTAGAGTAACAGGTTGGCCAAAGTCCAGAGATGGGAAAGCTCAGAGTGCTTCTTTGAGAAGGGGATTCAGAAGAGTACAATAGTGTAAAAAAAAAAAAAAAGCAGATTGGAGCCAGATTCTAATATCGGATGACTCACGGAGGTACTTGGACAGCATTTACTTTGTTCTACAAATGCTCCTCCAGTTGAGCTCAAAGATGGATTTGGAAGCAGTGGAAACAGTCCAACGATTGCAATGATTCAGACAAGAGGGAACAAAAAGTGTGAAGTAAGATGGTGGCAAGTGTAATGGGATGGAAGTTGGGGGAGGTGAGGGTGGGAGGAGACAAACCAAAGTAAGAAGAAAAGGTAAAAAAGGGTTTTACAATTCCAAACAAAACCATGGAATTACTGATGTTGCTAAGGGGGGGAAGGAGAAGATAATATAAAAACCAAAGAGGGAAAGATAAACAATTTTAATTATCCCTACAATAAGTCAATTCAAAGAAGCTTTATTCCCTGAAATATCTGAGGAAGTCTGAGTCTGATGACGTGAAACTTTAAGTGTTTAAACATTTCAAAGCTACCCACACCGTGGTTACGTGCTTTGGACCACAGATTCCTATGGCTGATAATGTGGGCCTTTCCACAGATGATAAGTATGGAAGGAAGAAACCCTCCACACGTGTCCTCACAGTGGTAAGCATTATGGTGAGGGGTTTCCTCATTTGAAGGCATTTCCCTTGCACTTATGCAGGAATGTATGTTACAGGATGTTCCACAGGGCATGTTTGTGGCATCATGCCAGAGATGAGAACACCCTGGAACATGGGACATTTCAAATGTGTGCCACGCGAAAACCACTGGCATTGCCTTGTGTACATTTCTTTAAACCTGAAGCAGATTTTTAACAGGTCTGTTTATATTCTCAACTTCCTCTCTCTGACGTGCTGCATATCACCAGGAGCTTTTTTGACTTGAAATGACAACACTAACATATCGAATGAAAGCAAAAATAATATTCAAGGTCAAATACATTGATGGATAACAATCTATTCTGAAAACTTCTAAAAGGAAGAAATTAATGTGACTCTATCTAAGTTTTTATCAGTTTCAGCCAAGGGAAGCTGACCTGTGTCATGGTAAGGCATGAGAGTCTATAGAACCATTTAAGAAGACAGAATTAAGCTAAGCGTATGGGGCATGTAAACACCTGGGTTCTTTTTCTTACATAACGATCACTGGGAAAAGTTTGGGGGATGTGAGAGTATCCACAGAAACGTTTATCAAGGAAGCATTCATAAGAGATGAAGTGATAAATTTGGCTTGCTCAGTAAATTAATCTGGCTTCCTCTGTCCACTCGATAAAGACCCAGCTCTGTTCCTTTAAGTAATTTAAATGTACTTAACATGAGAGATTCACTCAGATTAGATCTGACCATTTTCTAGAGTCAGGACTATGTTATCCTTAAAGAGGCCACTAGAAAGCTCTTCTGTGACAGCCTCGTTTTGAAATCAAGGTACAAGGAGTATCCCTTAAGTTATAAAGCTGCAAATGTCCCTACAGTCTAACTGTACCTTTCACCTAGAGTACAGAGGGTCTTTAAAATATTTTACCCAATCCACGTGAACTTGAATGCTCTAAGTTTCACAAGTGGCAGCTTATTTCTAGCATCATTATGCTAATTAACATGCCACTACTTTCTTCAGGCACCCCATTTCTGACAATCATTATGCTAATTGAGATACGGACAGTTTCAAGTACTTGTAGAAACCTCTGGCTTTTCTCATTAAATATTAGCTGACCTCCTGTGGGGTGTGAAATCCTGAGTTGTGTAGCTAAGTGCCCTTGAAAAGTAGCTTAACCCATCACACATACATTTAGCAGCATAATGTTCACACTAAAGATATTTTGAAGTAAATTACAGACATCACAACAGAAGGTTGCAGAACAAAAGTTTAAGAAGTAGAAATGATGAGCATATGAATAGAAAGGTCATATTTGGGATCTATAGCAACACATATTTTACTATTCCAAATTCCACTTTCCAAGCTAAAAAACAGGTCTTCACATTTTGTATTCTTGCTTTTTTTTTTTTTTTTTTTTTTTTTCCTGTTAAAAGAGGCTGCTAATGCAAAAGGGGCTTGGGGCTTTTATCTGCAAAGGCAGAGATGATACCTGTGGTTTGTTTTGAAAGTTCTGTGGAAATTCCAGTTCCTGTCCGAATTAACGGTTTTTCTTTGTGCTATTTAAGAAATCTTAAAAATGACGAGGGCTTGAAAAATAGGAGTCTTCAAGCAAAGTTAACTTTGAATATGTAAAATCTTTGTCAATCTTTGAGTGACAACCCTTTGGAGCCTCCTTCTCCTCTTCTTTAGAGGGGGAGATCAGATCAGCATTCTCCAGAGTATAAATTAGGTTTTAGTGCTGAGGGAGAATTTAACAACCATACCCCCGGAGTTGGGGTGGGGGTCCCAAGGAGTGTGGGAAACAACCTCTAACCTAAGTGAAATACTTTCTTAATTGCAGTCGTCTTCAAAGCTATTAAAATGCTAATAGCTGGACCTCCTAGAGGGCAAGATAAATCAAATGTTTCACTTCCTGAAAGATTAGCATGTAAAGTCCAGCTTGGGAATTCTGAGAGTTTTTGCAAACTTGTGACAAAATGTTCACTCTCAACATGATTTTCATACTTCATCTAGGACAGAGAAGGTGGAGAGGAGGGAATTCAGTTCTATTGAACAGCAACACCCTGTCCCTTCCAACTTCAGCTAGCAACCAAGAAAATGCAAAGGACAACCATTCATTTCTCCTCATTTGTTTTTGTGTAACATTGAGACCACTTGATAGGAGAGGGCTATTGGAAACCTTTGCGTAAGTTTATAGCTTGAAAGTGTCTGTAGCCTAGCTCATAAATATGGATGCTTCAAGACCAGTGCACAGGACATACCTGAGCAGTGTGAGTGTTCTATGTCAGTGTAATCCTTTGGCTAAGACACGGGTCATGGAGCAGCTGTTGCAGAGATTGATGGTGTATTAGGCATTGTCTGCTAGATAAATAATACCAGGTAAAAGATGGGAGTGGGAGCAAAGAACAGGCCAAAAAAACAAACAAAAACACAAAACTGAATGAAACGTTTTGTTCCCACAACAAGGTAGGTTTTTAGAAATAAATGAAGTAAGTCTATACTTTGCAAAGGTACAGAAATCAAATATATACCATGGTTCCCATGACTACTACTGATAAAGTTTCCCTTATTGTTGCTGCTATTATGAAATTTTTAATGTCATTTCTTCTTAAAAGAAACCCCACTTTTTCATATAACATACACAAAATATGTATTCTTAGAAACTTAACCTATTGGTTAAAAATGGAAATATCAATTCTCAACTAGTTGCTTTTCTTACATGATCCTAAGAACATGTAAGATCCTTAGGCTTCTAAGAGGCACAGCTGACTCATATGAACACGTTTTGCAAATTAGGAAGAAAAAACCTCTCTGGATCATCCCAGCCTACCTGTCATATAGCTTAAAACATCCTTAAGGAGACTTTGTGAATTTGAATAAAGCCCACTTGCTCAGAACAAATGCAGCCCTGCACTAGAGGACGCAGGTTGGGGATCAGATTTTAGGCGGGAATTTAGCCCCCACAAACTCCCTCAGCCGTGCAGCTTATACAGTGAACAGCCTGGACACCCTCAATAACCCTGAGGTTTCTTTACTGCCTTAAGCAACTAGGCATCAGAAGAACCTGCAAAGCACTGAAAGAAGTAGACTTCATCTAAAGTGACCTATGGATAGTTTCAAAATCATTTTTTATACCCCTGAAATTATTTAACAGAATTCTAGTCTGTGGATGGAAGGGCTAAGCTTCAAGGTCGACCCACTAGAAGCTCAACCCTGCCATTGTAGATGGAACAAAAGCAGAAGACATTGTTTGGCTAGCCTAGGCAAAGCAGCAGAAGTAAAAATGACATTTGCCTAGTTAAACATTTATTATGTGCATGCATACCATCTGCCAGATTCCTGGAGAGTAAAAAGTGGAAGTAGAATATACTCCCCGTTCTCAAGAATTAGAAAACTTGATGACATGGGTGAACAAGGAAAAAGAGGAGAAGCGGTAAAGTGAACAAAATTCATTGCCTCTTAACTGTCTTACTACTTTATTGGGCCAAATAAGGCTTCTGTGAATATACTTGGTGAATACCACAAGGTAACACACAATCATTGCTATATCTTGGGTACATAGTAGGGCTGCGCATATTTGTTGACTGAGTTAGTGATGAATCCCACAGGAGTTATGAAGGGATATTCTCATTCTATAAGCCTCAATACTTAATGTGAACAAACTCTCTGGCTTAAATATATATTTATATGAAAGTGGTGGAATTTGAAACTTGTACAATTTACTAGATATTGAAAGAACTTGGTATCTTTTAAAGAGATCTTACTGGAAAAGAGCACACAAGGTGATTTCAAAGTTGCTTTGATGTAATGACCGCTTGTACCCAATTGTTTCCACAGACCATAAACAAGACTGAAGAATGTTCGTCTGAAACTTTGCCTTGAATGAAGAAACTTCATTGAACAGGAAGTTGGCTTCCAGTTTGCACAGGCGTCGATGGAATGCTTTTTTTTTTTTTCTACTTTACCCAGTGAAAACAAAGTGTTTTTATGTGCTGTGCAAATGGTTCCTTCATGTGGTCTGACAGTTTATTTTCGCCATCTTTTTTTTTAAAGAAAAAAATCCCAGAAGAGGAAACAAACAAAAACCAACAACGAAACAAAATGAAGAAGGTTGACGTGTTATCTAGAAGAACATTTGAATTCAGAATTTACCAGAAGATGTAGATAGATTTTTTTTTTTTTAACGGAAAATCAGATGTCAAGAGGTGGGCAAAGCAGAAATGGAAACAAATTGTCTTCCTCAGTAACTAAACTACTCTTTCTTTCCCCCTTTTTGTTTAAAGATAGTGGGTTGGTTTTTTATTTTATTGTTTTCCTAGAAATATTTAGGTAAGGTTTATCTTGAATCTTAATTGCCTTAATTTTAAGGACGTCAAAGGCTCTCGAGGCAAGCTGTCAACGTCTTGTTAAAAAAAAATTCAAGAAAGAATTGAAATATTGTGCCGGCTTTAACTGGTACAGAAGTTTAAGACTATGAGTTTTTAGGGTGAAAAAAAAAACTGTACAGTTTAAAAGAAAATGTTTTTCTTCATTTGAAGAAAATTTGTTGATAAAAGAAACCATGGCAACTGCAAGAATTGGGAAAATGCTGGGACTTTTCATGAACTTTGTCTTAAGTGTTGAATCATTCTAGAAGGCTAAAACATTTTACGGTAAAGTTATTAATGTTGGTTTAAAAACAATTGCATTAGAAATAATGCGTGTTTGGAGGGCAGAATGCAGATTTTTTTTATTTACGAAGCGTGATCGCTAGCAAAAGCATTAGTGCTTTTTATCTGCAGTCTTTTTTATGAGCTTTACAAAGTTTTTAGTCAGCTTTGCTTGTCACATTGCAAAACCTAGCTTAAGAGCATTAAAAAAAATTAAGTAGATAGGAGCTTATGGTCAAAAAGTGCAAAAAAAAAAAAAACAAAAAAAGCAATAGATAGAGAAATTGTTGACAATTTCTGTAGTCTTTCCTAGTTGTGATCAAATTCAGCCTATGGATGGCCTATTTTATACCAAAGATGAAGTGGCACCCTATTGCAGTCCAGAAGATAGAGGTTGTTTTCCTTTTCTTCTCTTTTCTTTTTAAAAATTTTATTTGACCTACATGGCCGGACCAGTTCTTACTCTGTTGTTTGTTTAAACTACCTTCCACTGGTGTTTTACATACTGCAAAACCAAACAAAACAAAAAATGTGTTTTTTTTGTTTGTTTTTGTTTTTTAATGTGCATTTGTTGATACTAGCAGAAGCTTGCACCTGCTGTGTTCAGCAGTTTCAGCGCGAAGAGTTCTGGATACCAACTGATAGAGCCAAAAGGCTTTATATTCATTCTGTGAGCTTTTCTGGTTCCTTACTAGCTCTCTTGAATAGTGACACCTGTAATGATGGCCACCAATAAGCTGAGACACTTGTTTAACAGGTTGAAATTCCTTTCTGTGAACTTTGAACTAAAGATCCTTCCCGAACTGGTCTGAAAGGTCACTTGTCAAAAAAGCGTAGTGATATTCTGTTAAGTGATGAGTGGTCTCCTGAAAAGGTCTCATTGTATTTGTAACAATAGTCTTCCTTCTAACGTCCAACACCTCTAGGTTTTGTCTTCTCGCCTCAGTCTTTGTTCAACCTGCCATGAACAGCCACCTTGATTCTGCAGTTGGGGAGGGGATATCTTCTTTTTGCCTCCTTTCATTGTATTTTCATACCCTGGTGTTGTCAGAAGAAGGACAAAAACAGACCTTTTTTTTTTTTTTTTTTTTTTTTCCAGTTTTGCTCTCTGAGACAAGTAGGACCAATAAGATTGAGGATTCTATTAGTGAAATGTAGGTAAGCTTTTAAGATGCTAGTTGACAATCAAGAAATTGTATGATTTATATCAATAAGAACCAAAAGAATTAGATCTGCTCAATCTTTAAAGCCAAAGTAGATATATTTGCATTGAGAATGATGCAAAACTTTGTCTAAAATGGATTAAATTGACTTAACAAACATCTCTGCATATTTGACTCATGGAATCCATGTTCAACCTGTATAGTTTCACCTGAACTTAAGACCGATGGAACTATGTTAATTGAACCATGCCCTAGAGTTGCTTTCTGAATGGATCATTGCAATCAGATGGGTGAAAGTCTTTTCACAAGCTAAGTCCAAGAAAACTGTCTTAGTCCAGAAGGAAGAAGGAAATGCATGAAGTGCACTGTAAAAGAAAACAGGGTAGGCTTTTAAAAACTGAAAAAACTTAAAAGGCAAATCATACTCCCTTTAGGTCAATATCAGTAATGAGTTTGGCTCCTCTGAAATTGTCAATATTCCACTATTTATAACTTGTCAACAGAGGCCTCGTGTTGAAATGGGCTCTGTTTTCTTATTTGAAAATCCATGAATTGGAAGCTCAAGTCTAGAAAGCGACTGCCTATTTTTGCAATCAAATTAGAGGCAAAAATGTATCCAAGAAAATGTAGTAGCATGTGCTACAGAGAAATTCCCTCTGGTGACACCCATTCCTTAATGGTTTTCCATGATTTAGAGAGAATCTTAAATTTATACTTTCTTCTGTTCTGTCCTTCAGCTTCTCATGTATTTCAAGGGTGGCACTTAAGTTTTTTCTTTGAGAAGTGGGCTCCTGAGTCACAGGGGGTGGGTATAAGCGAACATGTATAGGAACTGTGCTTTTCGTTTCTCTTTTTCAGTCTCTGAACTCTTTGTATAAATAAGGATTATCCTGGGCATATTTCATTTGAATATGAAACCAACATGCTTTGTTTTGTTTCTGTAAAAAAAAAAACAAAAAAAAAAAACCTTAATGTGATACAAAGAAAGTCTCATTTACTCAATCAACAATGAGGCTAAGAGGTAGCTACCATGTGGCTGATGAATGTGCCTAGGTAACTTCCTGTTTCTATTCAAAACTACTGCTTTATTTATACATTCAGAAACATTTTTTTCAACTATGAAATTTCAATGATCTCAATTTTTTTAAGCCACTTCCGGCGCAAGGAAATTACCTGTCATTTTATGTGTCCATGTGTGTTTTGTGTTTGGATTTTTTATATCATGCCATTCAAGAAAATATCTTATTGCAAATCAAAAAGGAAAAAAAAGAAGGAAAAATGGCACATGTTCAAATTTGCATCTGTCATCTTACCTAATGGTTGTTTTTAAGAGTCAAGTCTGGGGGAATATAAAAAACATCAACAGGTAAGCAGCATTACATTATATGAAGAATAAAACAAATCAAAATATGTGTTCAATATTTGCAGACATCAGAATCCTAATTTAATCAGCAATTGTTATTATGGTGATTCTAATCCTATTTAAGGCTGGTTTTTTTTTTTTTTAAGTATTCTGGTTCATCAGATTTCCAAACATTTATTCAGATTATTTCCATTTTTCCTTTAGACTTTAATTGTCAAGCCTTCTAAACATGAGGAAACAAACCAAAATCCCAATCCAAATGGGATCAATGTAATCTTACTCAAACTCTAGATACATGGTCAATGGAGGAATGGGTTTTCTCTTAATAATGATAAAGTTTTGTCAAGGGATACAAATTATGCATAGTGACTCAATGCATGGCCATGTGTTCTAAAAATGTCTTGGGTCCTAGGTAAGCTAAAGCTAACAACCAGCAGGTGCTGGGCACTGTTTTTCCTTGAAGACTGGCATGTCACGATTGTTGCAAGTGACATAATATTGAAAGAAATGAAAGAAAGAAAGAAAGAAAGAAAGAAAGAAAGAAAGAAAGAAAGAAAGAAAGAAAAAAGAAAGAAAGAAAGAAAAATCCTTTACCTAACTTCAGTTTGGCCAGGGTTAGTTTTGTTGGTAAATTTCAATCATTCAGATGTTATCTCCATGCTTCACTTGAATCAGTTCTTCCTGTGACTTTAACAGATCTGCCACATTTGACAGCATACAAGACTCACTTCCACACATTCTAGTGAAAAACTACGTGGTATTAAAAACACTCATGTTAGAGAAGGAAGGCTGAGAGCAGAAAAAGACTGGATGGAGCAGGAAGTTCACTCTACCTGCAGAATACATCAACCTCTTGCAAAACTGTGTTAAAATCATTTTAATTCATGTATGACAAAAACAGAGTAGCTTTTTTTTTCTAAAAAAAAAGGTTAATTTGAATATTTGAGATGTCTATTCTATACCTATATATATTTTACAGTGGCCTAAAATCCCCATTAATGAAGACTGAGATTTGGTTGAGTAGCACTTTTGCAGCACTTCATGATTCAGAAGTTTCAATGGATTGTCTAGACAGATTATAATGTTAGTAAGAAACGAAAAATACATTTGACAACTCAGTCTCATTTGTAATTTGCGTGCATGAACCACTGTAGATGAGCTGATAAGCAGAGAGAAATTCTTAAGTGGGTTTCAGTGGTAAATGTTTTTAGATGATATCAAATCAAATAAAGGGTAATATTTATTTGTGTGGGTAAACAACATTCAGCACATTTGAAGAATCACACTTCCTAACAAAGTTAAACATGTCTTAGAGCCTTGGTCTATGTTCTCGTCCACAGTAGGGAGTGAAGGATGAGACTTTGGTTTTTGTGTTATTGTGCCTGGCATCCTTCAAAATTTTGAGCTTACCGAGAACTGACAGCATCTCACTCCAATCTGAGGAACTAGCAGAATTTAAACAGGATCATTGATTCTGTACACTATACCCTTCCTGTGACAGAGTGATAATGGGATTTCATTAATGAATCAATTTGTCACACATGACATCCACTGAGGTATTGGAAGACAGTTGAGTCTAACTCAAATTTAACATTTCTTACCCAATATTCTTAAATATGAAATCGCTCCCTTAATCCAAGTGCCCTTGGTCATGGCTGTCCTTTGTGGACTGCATGGAGTCCAGGACAGTACAGAGCTAAATACAAGATCCCTGAGTTTCCCCCAAAATCTTTTCTCATGTGAGGCAGGGGAGCTTACCCCAGATTGGTGGTTTTTCTTCTCTTTCAGTTTATACCCCAATACATATGCTCCCCATCACACAAATAAAGGATGGATAGCTACTTAATGCTTATTTCTTTGTGTTTCTGAAAGGAAAAATAATATTTTAAGAAATGCTTCTTCCTCTCAGGAAGCTTTAAAGCTGGAGCAGAGGTGAGATCAAGCTTGGAGTCTGTAGGAAGAACCTCTAGGCCACAGAGTCACACTTTTCTTCCATTTTATTCACTCCCGTTAGTAACTTCCCCAATGACTGAGTCTTGCAGAAATACAATCACTCTCAATTTTTGAAGGGCTATCTACTTTGTAGATTTGTTTTGTCTTCTCTTTTCAACTGTTAGGTCTTGGGCTCTGTTTCCTTTTATTAGCATTTCACCCTGAGGATGGAAAAGAAACATTTGGAAATCAGATTCAAATCAGTCTGTTTCTTTGCTAAGTCTCGATTTATCGAAGAAGTTTAAAATCATTGGTAAAACTGTCAGTGCATTATATACCATGGCTTTTTATTAGCCATAATGTCTCTTTCCCATTCTTTGCAAATAATTGAGAGTTGGCTGTATTCTTGCAAAAACAAAGGGGGGAAAAAACCTGTAGCAAAGTATTTGGCTTCCCTCAAAAGAAAGCTGTTTTGGTTTCGTTCACTATTGAAATTTTAACTAGAAGAAAATGTCAACTCAAAATTCAGTTATGAGAATATAATAGGATCTCTTGGTTAAATATACCCTCTTGTCCCTATCTTAAATCTTTGGCAAGAAAAATGCTTTGTTTTTGTTAATTTTTTTTTTGTTTGTTTTGCATCACAGTAATAAGGGTGAATGACCTTGACACTCCAGTGGATTTTTTCTGATCATTTCAAATTAAGTAGTGTCCAAAGTGTAACTTTAGTGTTATGCTTTGTATTTTAAACCTTCTGGTCTTATATTATTAAGAAAGATGCTCTGTCCGCCTCCCCCAAAAATGTCATTTCGTCATATATGAAAAAGTGAGTTATTTCATACTTTTCAGGAACTATAAAAACTATTTCAAAGAGACACTTGAATAAGTTTTTTGCATTCTTGAAATTAATGCTTCCATTTATTTAAAAAAAGAGGAATATAATTGGGATCTTAATTTAAAAAAATACACATAAAAGTATACTTGCTATGAAATACCCAGTTTCTTTTAAAAAAAAAAATGGGACACAGCTTTTTTAAAACCATTGTTTTAGGCCATATTTGACTTCATGGAACTTATGAAACATCATTCAAATTTGAACTTTATTTAAGAGTATTTTGTACCGCTGTCTCTGTCATGGAAAGTTCTGTAATTCTATGGTGTTTCTGGTTTTATTTTTAATTTTTTCATCTGTACCACAGTCAAATTAGCTACCATTTCCCCCATTCCTTGGGCTTTCTGTAGATCAGTGGATGTTAGGTTTAAACTTCTGTTTTCTTTGATGAAGCTTTCAATAAAAAATGAAAATAAAATCAATCAAGTAGTCTGTTGTGTTTTTCTTCACTGTTCCAGAAATGGGTTGAGGGAGGGACCAGTGGGAAGGAGTAGTTTCTGTATTTAATTGGGTATACTGCTGGCTTCCCATAGAATGCCAGAAGCAGCAGCAGCAGCAGCAGTAGCAGCAGCATACTATCCTTGGTAACAAAAACTAAGAGAGGAGAGAGCATTCCATCCACGCAAGAGACTGAGAAAAACTCGAGTTAGGGGCTTTGGTGGGAAGAGACCCTTTAGGTCTTCCTAACCTCACACATGTTTCCTAGTCTTTATGCTTCAGAGATAGTCCAGTTCCTGTCTCCAAACATGCCTAAAATCTACCAACAACTTGAGACATCTTTTGTAAAGGCCAGGAGACAGTTATACATGAAAATTTTCTTTTGACACCTTGACTCTATAAGGATTAAAATCCAAGTCAACCAAAATCAAAAATATCCATTCATCAAGCTATGGAGGACTGTGGTAAGCAAACAGCAGAAATTAGAGTTCTCTTGTCCAGGATCATCTAAGGTAACTGGGAGCTCTTATTCAAGGGCCACAAATATTCTGTGCTATAATATGTATTTGTTGTTGTTTGTCAATATTTAATTCTGTAGAAGACAAGAAAACAAAGGAGATAAATGAAATTCATACAATGTGTTAAACACAGCAAAGAAAGTAAACTTTAAGACATAAAATAAGTAGAGCAGATGAGTGTGAACAAAAAGAGAAACCCGAAGATGAAGAAAACATTGTATAATGCACTAAATATACATGAAGCACCAAGTATTCATGATATGTTAAATACACATAAGAAATATGAGACACATTTTTGAGGTCTTCACTTGGTCACCCTTTGGTAGCCATAGCAACTTATCGGGCTAATCAGTGAATTTCAATTACTTGCCCTTGCTTCTCTCAAAAGGAACATGTTTCACTGGCTCCTTCCTTCTGTGGCCTGTCTTGCTTGCATTTCAACTCTGATCTCTATAAAACACAATTAGTGGAGAAGGATGATGTAGCACAAGGAGAGGCAAAATACATGAACATTGCAGAGCTTTTGGCTGTGTGGTCCTTCTATTCTTCTTGAATGCTACCCTGAATGAGTTAACCTACCCAATGGCTTTCACCTTGCTTCTGGCCATGGATTTTAAATAGATTAAGAAGTCCTTTTAGCATCTTTATTTGACCTGTGAACCCTTCTGTTCCATGACCTCTAGTATAACTTGCATGATAATATATATAAAGGCTACAATTGTACCAAGGTCATTTCCCACATGACATCTTCATGCTTTATACCACAAGCACCCAAGAAAAAGCTAGCCAACCAGTTTCAGGCTCTGAGAATATATTGAATATATATCTTTCCTCCGTGAACACCAATTTACGTTGTACTTCCTGGCAGAAGAAGTTGGAAGAGAAACCTAGAAAAATGGAATTATTGGCAAGTATAAGAAAATAAGAATTGGAATTAAGACCTTGAAATTAATTTTACTTATGTTCCATCAGAGTTCTTTTTAGAGAAATGGTTCTTTTTTGCTGTTTGTTTCTCAGGAATTACAGACTTTTATTTTATTTTTTGATTTATTTATGATAGTCACACACAGAGAGAGAGAGAGGCAGAGACATAGGGAGAGGGAGAAGCAGGCTCCATGCACCGGGAGCCTGACGTGGGATTCGATCCCGGGTCTCCAGGATCACGCCCTGGGCCAAAGGCAGGCGCCAAACCGCTGCGCCACCCAGGGATCCCAGAATTACAGACTTTTAAGAGGCTAATGATGCAAGCACCACTACCCATATGCCTAACATGTTCACTAAGTTTCAGGATGCTTGGGAACTGCCTGAAACATATCCGTAGACTTCTGCTGAAGAATCCTTAGTTTCAAGACATAAAGATAAGAGAAAAACAACCAGAGAGTGAAGAAACAAGCTACATTTACAATGGTGTCCCTTGTTTATAAAATAACCATGATCTGTTGACTTCATATCTATGTATTTTTTACTGTTTTATAATTTATTCTAAGAAGTGAGTACTTCTCCAACTCTCAACAGTTCCCACAAAATTCACAATTGATAATACTTTTATTTTTAAAGGGATACTGAGAAAGATACTCTTTTTATTGCTTTCCAAAGTTAGTCAAGTGAAAAGTAATATAGCTCAAACTCAACCTTAGAAGATTTGGTTATTTTTTGAATTTCCGTATATGAGTGTCATTTACAATAATGATGAAAAAGTCTCCCATATATCAAAGGCTGTCTTTTCATTTAAATACTGAGAAACAGAGGGAGTAGCCTACTGTTAGGATCTTTCTCCCGCCCTTCCGAGATTGCAGGTGACTATCCCAATAAAGCAGTCAACAGGTGGCACTGTGGAGTTAGTCTCCAGTGGATTCCAAACCCACATCCCAGAATCCGCATTCCTAAACAGAAACAGAAATATGAGGTATGGCTCTAAGAGCAAGGTCGCCATCACTGAGCCTTCACTATGTGCCTCCTGTATCAGCTGGCTACATACTTGAGGCCATACAAGCCTCAAAAGACTGCTCTGAGGTAGGTGCTACTGCTACCTCCATTTTTTAGATGAGGCTTGGAAAGTTAGAGACCTTACCATGGACCTACTACATCCAGGAAGGCCTAGAGTGTGCTTTTAAAAACAGGTCCAGGGTCACTTGGGTGGCTCAATCAGTTGAAGTGGAACTCTTGATTTTGGGTCAGGTTGTATCTCAGGGTTGTGAGATTAAGTCCCATTGGGTTTCCCCCTTAGCACAGATTTTGCTTGAGATTCTCTCTCTACGTCTCCCTCTGCCCCTCCCCCCACCACTCATGCACTCTTTATAAACAAACAAACAAATAAATAATAAAAACAAATCCAAAATTTCAACCCCTGAGTTCTAAGGTTTTCTCTTATGCAATGACTTTGGGAAATGCCAATGCGGAAGATAATTTTGTTTTCAATGTTTTTTTTCAAATGTTTATTTCACTTGGCCTGAGATTTTTGTCGGTTCTGTAAAGGAGGGCATTTGATGTTTGTTCTAATCACTTTGGTCACAGAAACCCAACACAATTCACATTTTCCATCCCAGAAATAACTTGCTGTTTCAATCATCTCTGTGATTTGTTCTGGAAAAAAAGGATGTATCTACCAAATAGATAAGCATAACTTTTCATTGACTCATTCATTTAACAGTGCCTGGCACATGAACATTCCATAAATATTTTAATGATAAATAGAGTAGACATGGTACTTGTCTACGGAGATGTCATATTCTAGAAGGCTCTGGTTTATGACAACATTGTAGCATGAAATAAGATCAGTGAATTTTGTGAGCAATATGTTTCACCTCCCATGGCTTGATGCAAAGTAGATGGAAAACTTCCTGATCTGAATGCAATCATGTCTTCTCCCATCCACACGTGTGGTAGGTCTTTCAACCCCCTTGCTGTTGCCTCTTCCCTAATTTGGCACCTCAGCAGAGTGAGTGTACATTTCACTGCTACCCTTTCCCCAAATCATCTGGGCCATTCAACTCTTTTGACATTAAAGAGAGTGGAATATGCCATTCTGAGCTGCTCTGAGCTGTTGCATATTCCAACTCTAGTAGTGTGGCAAGATTTCTTTTCCTTTGGTATACCCACATTTCTTGGTCATGCTGCTTCAAAGAATGAAGATGTAGACCAGAGGAAGAGTGGTGGGAAGCAAAGCAAAGTTTATTGAGCAATAGTACAAAACTCTCAAAGAGGGAGGGGACCCTAGAGGGTTACCACCAGAGTTTCGAAGTTTAGGGGTTTTTATGAGATTGTTGGTGGGCTGTTTTAACCTGATTAACTCTCCACGCACCTGTCACCCAATCAGGTTTTTGTCATCTACCTATCATGTGGGAAAGGGTGGAGAGATCCAGGGTGATGTAAAATCCTTTTAAGGGTGGCTTCCTCTTAGGGCAGGGGCCCTTGTCCTTGCCTGCCTTTCTTATGACTAGGCTTCATTAGTAGCATCTATTATTTATTACCACTGATCTTTTCACAACCATGCAGGATAGGTGTGGCCACATTTTAAACATGAGGAAACTGAGGCCTTGAAAAGTTATAAGACTTGGCCATGTTTTCAAGATGCAGATGTGTGATCCAAGCTTAGAATCTGCTAGATACAAAGCCAAAGACTTTTACGTCGTGCTGGATCCACTGATGTGACTTGAGAAGACACACTATTCATCCATAATAACTTTTCTATTATCTGACCTTTGACCAATATAATTTTATTCTCACAGTTAGATCACAAAGTATCAGATAAAGTGCTGAACAAGCAGTGAAAAGATCTTGGATCCTCACTTTAGGCAAACTCTTTGCTAAACATGTTTTCCCCTCTCTCTAAAATTCATCTTTACCCATCAAAACGCACACCTTTGCTCTGGACTTTTTGTTTGTTTATTTTTTAACAACAACAATAGGATGATTTATTTAAAGCATAGCACACTCCCCATCACTTCCCAATAGGATAGGAGGAGAAAAGAATGACCCTACAAGTGTCATTTGGTCCAAGGCAGAGCTCCATGCCTCCTGAGATAGCAGACTCATTGCCCTCAGAGCCCCATGCCCAGAGTCAAGCTGAACGCACCAAGAGGCCAGCCACAGCCTTCAAGCTTCCCATCTGTAGCTGTAGCCAGGCTCTGAGTTACCAGAATGCTTTCCTCATGGGGCGATTAACATGTCTGTAGGTGTCACATAATAAAACAGGAGATCACTCTGTGGAGTCTGTTGTTCTGTAGAAGATTTAAAATGACTCCCCCAACCTTCACACCAAATCCTGATCAGCAAGGACTGCTCTTCCTCTGTTCACCAGCAATGCCACCATTTGAAGTGATTGCCAACCCTACCTCCATACTCGTTTCTCTCTTGGTCTTTACTAATTGCTCCCATCCTCACCTAAGATGAGAAGGAATCCAGGGACTTTCTCAGGTTCACAGGCTGAGAGGAAGAGCCCAGAGAGCTTAGGAAAAAAA